GCCCACAGCTGACCCCAGCAGCCCCAGCCTCTCCATCTCTCTTGGCCTCGTAGGCTGCTGACTTACACCTATAGACTGACTTACACCCATCAGACTGTTTCCTCAGGGTGTTATTCTTTGTCCAGGCTTCCCTGGTCTCTGATCATGTGACTATGTCCTCCACCTCGACTCACATATCTTGGCTTTTCTCGCTCCCAGTGACTGAGAAATTCTCTCACCCTGAAATGAGTAACTTCTAAAACTCCATCCCAGTCCCACCTGGCTTGCAAGTGCCAAGTCCTGACCCCAGCTCTGATGTCCACGAGCCCGACTTCCTCTGGGCCTCTGGGCCTCTGAAAGGACCCTAGTGTGCTTTACACATCGGCCTCAGCCTGCTCCTTCCTGTACCCCTCACCCCACTCAACCATCTTTTCACGCACAGGGGGCCCAGTCCATCATGGAAGAGCAAACAGTAGGGCTGCAGGGTTAAGGGGAGCAGGAAGGGATTGATCACATGGCAGCCCCAGACAGGAAGTCACAACCAAACTCTAACACTGGCGTTTAAATATAAGATGTCTGTCAGGGGCTCCTGTTTTGAACACCGGGTTCCCAGCTATCAGGGCTGTTGTGAGAAGGGTACAGAACCTTTAAGAGGTGGGTCCCAGCTGATGGAGATAGGTCACCAGGGAATAGGCCCTGAGGACCACAGCCCTAGCCTACTGTTTCCCGTCTCATCCTTGTCTCCACCTCCATCTCCCGCTAACACAAGTCTCCTGCCACCATGCCTTCCCCACCACAGCGGCCTAAAATGTCCTAAAACCCTGAGCTAAAATAAACCTGCCATCATTGCAGCTGTGAGAAAAGTTACAAGGACATAGCAACAGCCTTTTCCTCTTCTCTTTCCTGTTTGGGGCAGAGTGCCGCGTGATTCACACACCCCCAAATCATGTGACACTCACAGCAACCCTGGGCCAGGCCAACAGTTCACAGCTCTATAGATTCACCACCCAGCTCCAGAGATAAGGAAACGGAAGCCCAGGGTGGCCACGTAAGTCACCTTAAGCCTCACAGCCAGCGGTGGAGTTCACGTTCAACCCCGAGGCTATAGGCCAAGGCCTAGGTGGACAAGCAAGCCTGTGTGTGCAATTACCCGTGGTTCGGTTTGTTAGCATTACCAAACTGTCTCATTGTGAAGATTTTGTAGCATAATTCCTTGGTGGGGAAAAAAGTTTTCTGACTGACCTTGGAGCCTGGGAGGGAAGATGAAACATTAAGTCATCCTGCCATTAAAATTAAGTTCAATCACCCCTAATGGAATGTCACCTCCAAGATAGCCATTAAAGCCACTGGCCTAACCAACTGGCAGGTCCTGCGTATATCACCATTATCCCGTCCCTGTAACAGCCATTTGTCGGAGGCCGAGAGAGCCCCAGGAGACGCTGAGCGCTGCCCTCAATGTCGTGTGGAGGAGAGACATCTGCCGTTTCCTCCCCTGCTTCATCGGGGCAGCCAGGGATGTGGCAGGAAGGCACAGGGCACAGACACAGATGTCACAGGCTTTGACCTTGGGCCACCAGGACGGGGCAGTCTGGGTGAAAGAGGCTACGTCATGGTGTGCTGTGCACTTGTGTGGCTCTCACAGATGCTACCCCAGCCACTCAGCTATCAGCCCCTGCTGCTCTCCAGAGGCGATGGCTCCTGCCTGCCTGTGCTCGTCCGGCCCTGTGTCTGGGGTTTGAGCTGGGGTCCCTACTCACCAGCTTGCTCTGAAGAACTCTTGTCTCTGTCCACGTCAACCTGGCATTGACCTGGGTTCTGGGGACTCAAACGGTGGTCTAAGGCAGCAAGTGCTTTAACTGCTGAGCCGTCTCCCCAGTCCCCATGATTGACTTTGATTGACTTTTTCTAAGCTAGCAAGCAAGAAATGACTTTCACTGTGACATCTGGGTGTGTTTACATCACTATATTCTGCTCTTCGCTTTATTTGTTTGACACATGTAGCTCAGGCTGTCCCTGAACTCTTTGTTGCCAAGGATGACCTTGAGTTGATCCTCCTGCTCCTGCATCCTAAGTATTGGGATTACAGGCGCATGCTGCCACATTCAGCTTACATTTTGTCCCTGTCTGCCCCTCCACTGCCCCGCCATCTCTCTGGTGCCTTTATTCCCCCAAAGAGCCCTCCTGTTCCCACGCCCTATAAATCCCATTCCCCTCTCCTGCCCCTCCTCATCTCTCCTCTCCCAGTCCCCTTTCAACCTTCAATCCTGCACAACTAGAGAGTGCACATGAGAAAAACAAGCCCTACGGCTTCCTGGTTTCCTTTGCAGGCCCTTACACCTTTAAAGCCCAGACTTTGTCCTCTAATGTAAATAGACAGGGAAGCCGAGACTCTACTAGGCTGAAGGAAGATGCCGTAAGCACACCTGCCAGTCACCAGAGGCAGGGCTAAGAAAAGCTGGCTTTCTCCTCAACACAGTGTGCTCGAACAACTACTCTTTGGCAGATTGCTTTCCCTCACCGGACCCCCTCCCCACTAGCTAGAAGCTCTGTGTCCCTAACACCACCTCCTCCTCTGAAGTAGGGTTTGTAAGAATTTAAGATACAGTGTTGGACCGTGGGGATGTCTTATAGATAAAGACTTGCCTCTAAGCCTAACAACCTGGATTCAGTCCCTGAGATACACTTTGGAAAGCGAGACCACCAACTCCTGAATGCTGACCCCTGACCTTCACATGCAAGCAGTAGTACACACACAGCTCCTTCCATGTCTGATGCAAGAGCGTGTCTTATATAATGGAAGGTGAGTGTTATCTGGGCCCCAGAATAAGGTGGGGACACTGGGTGTCTCCCCTGAGAGTCTATGATGGCCATTCTACATCTTCCCATTGAACAGATTATTTAACATCCATGGCGTATTATTTTATAAGAATCATTTGTAAGGTTTGTATTACCTGACCTGTCTCTGGGGATATGTCGACCATGTTCTTCCCTCTTTTAGGAAACTCCTGTGTACGCTTCAAGATATGGGGTAGAAGCCACCTCTTCCGGGCAGCACCCTGGTTCCCTAGCTGTGTGAAATGGATACTCTTCTGTCCTCTATAACACTGGTGTTATAATAACAATATATAATAATAATAATATATATATAATGATAATATATATAATAATGGTGTGCCTCTGTAATTCAGTGGTAATTCTTCTAGCCACAGGGTACATCTTGGGCTCCTAGCTCTTGGGCAAGGTCTAACCCAAGGTAGAGTCTCAAAAAAAATAAAATAACCTCATTGGACAAATAAGCCACAAAGCCAAATTTTGCTTGCCCTTCACAATATAGCATATAGATTTTTTGCTTGCCCTTCACAGTATAACATGGAGATTATGTCTATGAAAATTAACCAAAAGATGACAAGGTTGAGAGTAAGCTGAGAAAGCAAAGCATGGGGCAAGAGCAGTGGCATCCTGCCCTTCTCTGCCCTGCCCTGCCCTTCCCTGCCCTGCTTCAACCGCCTCACTCAATGACGCACCAAACCGGAGAGAGGAGGGCAGGCCTCCTACCCCAGCCAAGTTGTAAAATGTAACGGCTAGAAACCGTGCCCTGCCTTCATGCCATATAAATCCCCACTGGGCCATGCCAGTTGATGGACTTCGAGCAGAAATATCAATAAGCCTAGGAAAGAAACGGAGGGCAAAGGTAATGTCTACTGTAAGCCAGGTCCTGAGTGTCCAAATTACAGCATCAAGGTGGGTGTCAAAGGTCATCTGGTCTACCCTCTGGCTCTGTATACAATGCCTCCAGTTCCAGCAGTGACTTCCAGGCTCCAAGGGGTTCAAACTCTTAAGGCCTGTGGTTTTAAGCGGCAGAGACAAAATTTGCTCTGTGATCCCACTCAGGAAGTCACGCTATCAAGTTCAGAAGCGTGAGACACCACCTTGTAGACCGCAGGGGTTATTCGTGCTTCAGAAAGCCCATGCTCCGTTCCGGAGGAGTGGCAAACCTATTCGACACTGGGTACAATTAAGGGCCCTTATAATAAAATGCTCTTCTGGCCAACAAAGTAGTTCTCAGCCATCTTTGGACTCCCAGATGTTAGGCGAGGCCTAGCTCAGGGTAGAGTCTCCAAACTGGCTTGCTGAACAAATAAACCATAAAGCAGAATTATAAGCGCTTAGATGAGAGGCCAGAGCCACACACAAGGAGTGGCCCAGGAAAACTGACCCAAGTCTTCAGTGGAATCCGACCATGAACTCGCTCCCAAAAAAACAGTCATGAGAAATGATTGGGACAATTGGGTTTTGTTCTGCTCAGGTTTGTGATGTGCAATCATTTGTCCATGTTCAAAGGGTGTCCTGCCACTGAGCTACATCCCAAGTCTTTGTGTGTACGTGTGTGTGTGTGTGTGTGTGTGTGTGTGTGTGTGAGAGAGAGAGAGAGAGAGAGAGAGAGAGAGAGAGAGAGAAAGAGAGAAAGAGAGAGAGAGAGTCAAACAATACAGTCCAGGCTGGGCTCAAACGCTTGCCTCCATCTCCTGAGGAGGATTAGACAGTCACGGCTGCCTGAGGATCTTCAGTGTGTACTGAGTGTTGGATAATAGTAAGGAATTATGGTGATTTGGGGGAACCTAATGACTATCAAACCACTGTCTGTGAAATACGGAATACAGAAACTGACATGTTTTCAAAGGCTTTGGGGGAGGCAGACAGATATAGGTGACGCTGGACAGTAATATCCGGTTGGCATAGCATGGCGGGGGCCCACTGCTTTCCACTTCCGAGAACCTCTGGGAAGCTCATTAAGTAGAAAAGCTGAGAAGCACAATGTGGGGTGGCAGATAGAAGAACAGGCCTTTCTATCTGGACTTGGAAGCAAGCAACATCTCAAGACATGAAAAGCCGGAAATGTCATGGAGTTCCCTAGACCCACAGAGGCCTAGGAGCAGGATGGGCCAGTCATGGCTCAGGAACCCCAGCCAGACATCCAAACAGGTGCCCTGTGGAGATTGAGAGCCACCTGTGTTGCTGACCTGTTTCTCAGGGATGTGGAAAGTGCCGACAGCCAAGATCCTGGCAGAAGACTCATGGGTACTGGGTACTTCGTGCAGGCCGTGGGCGGGTACTGCACAACCTTCCAAAACAATCTATTTGCTCTTCTTGTTCCAGCAAGCCCTGACTCAAGGACAGCCCCTTGTCCACTTCTGGCCTTGCACACAGCCTTCTTCAAGCTCTGTCTTCCTCCAGAGAAGCACACTATGGTCATCTTGGGGTTGTCATTCCTATCGTCCTCTTCAGGACCCTCTGCTTATCTAGAGAAGGCGGGTCAGAAGAGGCTAGTCCAGAGTGGACCCTGAGACCCCTGCCCAGGGGAGAATCCACCTGCCTCTCCCCCAGCCCCTCCTACCCACAATCTGAACCTCTCTTTTCCTAGTGCTGTCTAGGGAATAAAGTGGGATTCCTGGGGAGCTAGCCTTTGTTACTGCCTCCTCAATGTGGATGACTCACCCCTGTTCATCTTCCCAGAGACCACCAGGGCCCTCTGCTGGGTGAGGGTGGGGCCCGGGAGCCCGCCACACCATACACCACTCCTGTCTAGGATTTATTTGCCTTTAGCTTTTCATTTACCTCCTGAGATCATGGAAAAAAATGAACCTGACCTAAGCTGCAGCACAGCACTTGGCCTTCACCTCTGGTGTATGACCAATGAAGGCCTAGAATCACTCAGTAATTGCCATGGCAACATTGGGTGAGGTGGGCGGTTCCCTCCCACAAGCTTATCTCTACTCGGCAGTCCTGGTAGCTCACGGCTCAGCATTGCAAAATCAGACAGAAAATATTTACAATGAGAGTTGACCCAAAAAAAGACTTCCATGAGATCAACTTGACCTGACCTCCTCCAGGTGAGATGACTTCAGACAGGGGAGACAATCTGTCCACGCCTTAGGGAGTCAGGGCGGGAGGGGGTGGGGCTTAGAAGGTGCAAAGAGCAGTAGCCTTGAAGTCATACCTGGGCCTGAGTTCAAATCCTCCCATGCCCAACCCCAACCCTCTCACCTGGATAGTAGAACACAGAGTTCATCTCAGTTTGTGTTTTCACGTCAGACCGTTCTACAGACTATACGGGAACACCTGGGCGGTGCTTCTCAAATGAACGTCTGACCTTTCAGGTTGGGGACAGGGGCTCTTGTGAACTTGACTTGGGAGGTAAGGGCCCTTGGACAGACAGGGGGTACAACGGTGACTCCAAGGCAGGCTTCTGGGAAATGCACTTCCCTGGTCCCTACGTTCCTATTGTCCTCCTGATGCACCCAGGTAGACAACACTCATCAGCCACTGTCCTGGCTCACGGTCTACTTGACACAGCTTAGAGAGACCCGAAAGGAGAAGCCTCAATGCTCAGATTACGTAGGTCTGTGCAAGATCATCTTGATTATGAACTGATCTAAGAGGGCCTAGCCCACTGTGGGTGACAACATGTCTCATGCAGATGGGACAAGGCTGTATGAGAAAGCCAGCTAAGCATGAGCCAGCGAGGGGGCCGGAAAGCCGCGTCCTTGCGTGATTTCTGCTTCAGGCTGTCTCCGGCTTGAGCTCCGGCTCTGACTCTCCCCAAGGGTGGACTGTGACAGGGAAGCTTCCCTAAGTGGCTTTTGGTTATGATATCTGTCCCAGCAAGAGAATAAGACTAAACAACAGATACACCAACGTTAAACATGGCTCTAGGTTTCATTCATCAGGCAGAGCAGTAGCTGCCCAGACTAGCCAGTGAGGGATGAAGTAGAATTATCTTAAACTTCTTGCCTTTTGAATACAGCGGACAGTACACTGTCCCCTGAGCCTGGCCCTGCCATCAACAACTGAGTCCCCTGAAGATTTTTTCCTGCTCCTTGTATCTGAGCATGGTCAAGCCAGAATGAACCTTCTTCTAGATCCTGACTATAACTCACATGCTGACCGATGTGAGGCCCCCACGGCCAACCCCACGTGACTATGGAAAGCTCACCTGCAAAGATGCAGACAGGTTGCCTCTGCTGACCACCCTAATCTCCACTCACTGTCTGAGAAGATAAATTCTCTATTTCTCATGTCCACATAGTCCAAGTTCCCTTTCTTATTGTATATCACTGTGTGTGTATGGGTGTGTGTGTGTGTGTGTGTGTGTGTGTGTGTGTAAGCTAGAGAGATTGACATCAGATCAGATGGATCAGATGTCTTCCCCAATCTCTCTTCTTCTCTTCACCTTAATTCTCTGAGACAGAATCACTAAACACGGAGCTAGGTTATCCGGCTAGCCTAACCAGCCAAACACCCAGGGATCCTCCCATCCCTGCCTCCAGGGCCAGGCTTATAAGCACACACCACCTCACTAGGATTCTTTCTGCCTTGATGCTGGGAATCAGACTCAGGTCCCCTTGCTTGCATGGGAACAGATACTTTACCAACAAAGCCATCTCCCTAGCCCTAATTTTTGGTATGCTTAATTAAGACAGAACTACATTCAGCATAGTTGCGCAGGCCTGTCATAGAAGTTACTCAGAGGACTGAAGCAAGAGGATTATTACATTCACAGACAGCCTGGGCAACTTAATGAGACCCCGTATCAAAAGTAAAGAGTAAAGAAGGGGACTGAGGATACAGCACAGCGCCAGAGCACTTCCTAGCGTGTTCACGGCATAGGTGTCACCCTAGTTCAACAGAAGGGGGAAAAGAATACAGCCGTAGTGGCAGTCAGTGACATTGAGACGTCGCGTCAAGCCTTCCCCACAGTTCTACCCTGAGACAAATTCAGAGCAAAAAATTCACTGTGATCATATTGTTCAGACTGAGGAAGCTACGACCCAGAAGGCTGGGGTGGGGGTGGGAGCCAAGGTCACAGAGCTGTTCCCAACCACTGTCTGCTGTGACGCTGTGTCTGTTCTGCTCTGCCTGTCACCAGCCACAGAGTCCAGCACATTTCTCATGGAGCATGACTGCCCAGAGAAGCTGACAGTCTCCATCGGCCCGAAGTGATGGAGATGGAGATCCTGGATCGAACGAGTTCAACAACACTGAATAGCAGGGTTTCCAAGCTTCTTGGTGTCCGGAGATCTGTTCATCCTTAACAGTAACCGCGTTTGTCACTACTTACTGCCAGACAATTTAAACTCAAAGTTGAAAGAAAAGTTTGCTGAGCCAGCCAAAGGTCTGTAACCTCGGCACTTTAGAAGGTAGAGGAGGAAATGTGGAACTCAAGGCCAGCCTTGGCTACCTATGAAGTTCGAGGCTAACCTGGAATACATGAGACCTTCTTTCAGATCCCCTTACTCTGATTTCTTTCTTGTCTTTCTTTTTTTTTCTCTAAATCATTAAAAATAGCAATCATGAACCTGAAACTTGTTAGCATATGTTATCTATTTGGGGAGAAAGTAACATTTCCCAAAATAAAAACAGTTAGTAAAAAGAATGGCCTTGTTTTGCACATTGAAAAAAAATGGCTTCTGCTTCTAGTCTCAGTCTGCTGAACCATACCACATTACTTCTGGAAAATTCCACTGTATGCTCATGCCAGAGTGAGTGGATGCCACTCAGACATCATGGCAGAAGTTCTCAGTCTGGGCAGGCTACACATCCAGCCCTCATGATCTCGAGGACTCCACGGAGAGTGCCCTTGGGCTGCTCTACAGCAGACTGTGACATCATGGGGGGCAGCCAAGTGTGCATGGAACTCGAGGACCTGGCACCCGCCTCAGAGAAATAGCACAGAGATCATTGGACAAAGTAAGATGGTGGCAGGTGAAGGGGACCAGGGTAGGTGGGGGGACACATCCTCCAGGAAAAGAGCAGAGCAAAGGCCCTGGGGAAAGGTGAGGGCACATCGTGACTCAAGAGGAGAAGAGCAGGTGAGCATCTCGTAGGACCTTGAGGGTGACCCTAAGCATGGGGGAGTTTATTTTTTCCTGTGGCGAGAATCCCCAAAGTGACCGAGAGCGTCACAGACTGAGCTTCCTTCTATTAAGGCTCCTGGTCAAGAGTATGAAGGGTGGCTCCTGAAAATGCAGCCCACAGAATGGATACCTATCTTTACCAATTACACATCTGATATATGTCTAAATTATATATAAAGAACTAAAACTATATAAACAACTAAAAAACCAGACAAACAGCCCCCCCCCAAAAAAAATTTAAAAATAGGTTTCAGAGCTGAGTAGAGTTCTCAAAAGATGAAATACAAATGGTTGAGAAAACTTTCAAGAATAAGTTTAACATTCATCAGGGAAGTGCAAATCAAAACTACTTTGAGATTTTATCTGGCACCCATCAGAAAGGCCAGGATAAACAAAACAAATGGCAGTCTTGCTGGCAAGTACGTGGAGCAAGTGTGAACACTTGCCCACTGTACAAGGGAGTGAAAACGTGTGCAGTCATGATAGAAATTGATGTAGTGGTTCCTCAGGAAGCTGGGAACAGTCTACCTCAAGATCCAGCTATACTACACCGCTGTTAGGCATATGCCCAAAGGACTCCATCTCCTACTGTTTGCTGATCCTTGCTTATTGCTGCATTATTAATAATATCTGGAAACAGCCTAACTGTCCATCAGCTGATGGATGGGTAACAAAGATGTGGTACATTTGCACCAAGAAATACTATTATGGTACATTTGCACCATGAAATACTATTTTGCTGTTAAGAAGAATGAAATCATGAAATTTGTAGATAAATTATCCTGAGCCGAGTAACCCAGACTCCAAAAAACAAACATTGTATGTGATCTTTTCTATATAGATGTTATCTTTCAAGATTTTGATAATGTGTGCTATAATCTGAATAACTCCAGAGGTTAGGTACCTAGTAAGGGACTAGTGGAGAGGAGAAGACCTCCCAAGAAAAAGTGAAATAGACTATATTGTTATGGAGAGACAAAGGGGAAGTTAGAATAAGATCAAAGGGAATCAGATAAAGAGAAGGATAAGGAAGGGAACAGGGGAGGGACAGCCAACACTAAAAGTCATTTGAAAGACCATATGGAAACCTACTACTGTAGATGCTTCCTAAATCTATACATATATGAAAAGGGTTCTAAATCGTCCATGAAGTCAATGGACGATAAGAGAGACAACGCTCCAGCTCGATACCCTATGACACCATGGAAAACTTCCAAGACTAGGAATAGGTCACATCTTGTTGAGCCACTGGCCAAAGAGGTTCCATGGAGCCCCCAAACATCACCAGCTATTGCCAAGTCTGTTGATTATTCTCTACAACCTAAAGGTATGGCCCTATTACTGAAGACAATTAGATATGTCCTTGAACCCAAAGAGGGTGAGCTGGTTTCTAACTAAACTGGCACTCATGGTCCTAGAAGGTGCACTGCATACTACCAGGAAGGAAAAGCAATCATCATACCTTCCCATTACAACCCCAATGACCTACAACAATGCCCTGCCTGCAAGACATGCTGGTGCATTAGTGGCACAGATGTTAAAGGAGTAACCAACCATCTTCCACTTGGATTCAAGGACCACTCCATGAGATGGAACCTGGTATAATTTTTTTAAAAAAAATGATAGTAGGAGAGAAAGAGAGAGACCATCATGCGACAGAGCTCACGTGGAGGGTTTTTTTTTAATTGGGGAAGGGAATGGGAAAGGAGAAGGGAGGGAGGGAGACTGACCTCTCGAGATGGGAGCAGCAG